ATTACTCATGTCTTTTATTTGTAGACCCAGCAATAGTTGGAGTAGATCGCTTGTATTGTGTAGTGTTCCTGCTGTCTTTTATGAGGGGGATTAACATATTATGATGTCATTTGCAAATGTGCAGATTCTCAAAGCCTTGGAGACCTATCCTTCAAGAATGTCAAAGTCTTTGTGTCCAGCCCAGTTTTGGGGACCAGAGGGTGTGTTTTTCCAAAAGCCCTAAGTCATCCTAGTCAGATGTCCCAGATTTTCTTGTCTTAGAGTGAGCGAGTCCTTTCTACTTGTAGTTAACTGTCTTCTTTCTTCCTCTTCAACCAGAGCTCAGAGACAACAACAGGACTCCCTAAACGCAAAGGGCGCACTTCCGTAACATCAAATGATATACTTCAAGGTGGAGTCCCCATCAAGCGCTCAAGTGCTGACCCAGCTCTGGATTTTCCCAGTGGTTATGGCTCAGATCAGACCTTATCAGGAGTCAGTGGCATAGGAAAGCCCTCTGAAGGGGTTACCAGGGAACGAAGCAGAGGTGTCTCTGCTACTACAGTCCCGGGTAGAGAACAGCACCCAAGGGCCCGTGATGAAGGTGGCCTGGCAAAGTCCCATCACCCGCCTATGTCCCAATTCAGAGTAGAATCAGATCGTCGCAGGACAAGAGAGCTGCCGCCGCATAGCTTAACCCATCTAAGAAAAGATGAACAAGAGGCACACCCTGGTCCAGTTCAACAGGACTTACCTGCAGCCACTGTGGCCAGAGATCAACATCATCAAGTATCCCCAGATCAGCATAGGGGGGTGTATCCAAGCCAGGGTCAAATCTATCCCAGGCTAGTTCAGCATGGATTAAGACCACTTGGCACGGATCCGCTTGCATGGCACCGTCCTAGCACTTGCCCACACGGTGTGGTACCCCTCAGCATGGGTCAGTTTGGTATGATGCCATCTGGAATGGATGAGCAGGGCTTGGTACCACCTGGCATGGGTCAGTATGACATGGTGCCACCATTGGTACCGGGCACAAAACAGCAAGGAGTGGAACTACCTAGTACAGCTCAGCCTGGTATGGTTCCATGTAGCACATATCAGTATGGCATGGTACTTCCTGGCACAGACCAACAGCCTGGTGTCGATCAGCATGGATTTGTACCCTTTAGTATAGATCAGCATGGATTTTTAATATCTGGCATGGATCAACAAGGATTAGTACTGCCTGGCATGGATCAACATGGATTGGTTCCACATCTTACAGATCAACATGGTTTGGTATCCCCTGGTTTGATGCAAGTTGCTGCAGATCAGCAAGGTTTTATACAGCCCAGCCTGGAAACATCTGGGTTCATTCAACCTAGTACAGAGGAGCATGATATAATCCAGCCTGGGGCAGATCAACGCAGTTTGGTACCAACTGGTACAGATCAGGCTGCTTTGGCCCAACCTGGTGCAGGTCAGCGTGGTTTAGTGCAGCCTGGTGCAGATCAGCGTGGTTTGGTCCAGCCTGGTGCAGGTCAGCGTGGTTTGATGCAGCCTAGTGCAGGTCAGCGTGGTTTAGTGCAGCCTGGTGCAGGTCAGCGTGGTTTGGTTCAGCCTGGTGCAGATCGGCGTGGTTTGGTGCAGCCTGTTGTAGATCAAAGTGGTTTGATCCAGCCTGGTGCTTACCTACCTGATTGGGTACAACCTGGTGCATATCCATCTGATTTGGTACAGACTAATGTATATCCATCTGTTTTGGTACAGCCTAGTGCAGGTCAGCCTGGTTTGATACAATCTGGAATGGGTCAGCAAGATTCAGCCCAACTTAGAATGGATCAGTATGCTTTGGTGCAGCCTGAAATGGATCAACATGGTTTGGTCCAAGTTGGAATGGATCAGCATGGTTTATTCCAACCTGGCACAGGTCAACCTGGTTTAGTGCAGCCTGGTGCAGGTCAGCGTGGTTTGGTCCAACCTATTACAGGTCCGCGTGATTTGGCCGAACCTGGAGTAGCTCAGCATGATCAGGTCCAACTTGGAATGGATCAGCATGGTTTGGTGCAACCTGGTGCAGGTCAGCCTGGTTTGGTCCAACTTGATGCAGGTCAGCCTGGCTTGG